TATGGAATTGCGGAGGCCGCAAAGAAACTACTTGGGAAACAGAAAATAAAATGAAGGCCGATTTTCCTAAGTGGTTTAAAGAGATGGGTAAAGATCAACTTGAGTCGGATTCGGGGACGAATCCCATTCAAGGGGGGGGGAGACTTGTAACGCCCGCGATCCTCAATAGGATCGTCGGATGAGACTTGGTCCGAGAAAAGGAGGAGGAACTCGGATAAGTCTAGATAGGAGCTGCCCATTAGCTCGAAGAAGGAGAATAATGCACGCTAAGTAGCCAAACCAGCTCACGTATAGCTCAACTAAGCTCGAAGTACTTCCGGGTAGCTCAGCTAAGCTCGGGTAACTGTCGAGTAGCTCAGCTAGCTCGACCAGCTGCCGGGTAGCTCAGCCCAGCTCGGGTAACTGTCCGACGGTTGGACGGTTGGGCAGTTATGGAAGGACGGTTGGGCGGTTACGGAAGAGCGGTTGGGCAGTTACGGATGACGGTTACAAATGGCCGGTTATGGACCGAATGGGCGCCTTCTAGAGAACGGTTGGAGAAACGGTTTCCAAACGAAACCCTATAAATACAAAGCGTTCGGGGCGAATTCGGACACGGAAAAACTTAGAGAAAAATACAGAAACTCTTGGGAACATCTTGAGAGAAAACACTTAAGAGAGAGTTACGATCGGTGCGATCGAAGGTGAGACGGTTCTAGACTTTGTGTCCGAACCTAAGGAGATATGATACGTACGATCTAGCCTAGGGATTGTTCTGATGACTTAGAAGAAGTCCGGAACGATTAGGGTGATATTGTAGTATCAGGGGATCATTCATATCATGCATAAACTTGGTTCGAATGGCGGATCGGTTGAAATGGGGATGCGGCTCGGCGGAGGATCGGCGGATCTGTGAAGATCTACCATGAACGGCCGAACTGATGCGCATACTTCCACTCTCCGATCTGTTCTTCGTTCCGGGTGGTTAAAAGGCTTAGAGAGCATTGCATGGACTTGCATATAATAAGTAAAACGGATACTTATGCCTCTTTGACTTTCAGGAAAGGATGGTGATCGTGGGAAGGACTTGGCTTAGGCGTGAGAGACTCAAGGCCGGGAAGATGGGTGGTGATGAATCGGTTAGAATAGGATCAATTATATGACTTGTAGTAGCTTATATGCAAACTCATAAGTTGTATCAAATCCTTTTAAATATCTAATAAAGTATACGATTCTTTGTTTACTCTATTATTGCATATTGACTCTAAGTAATGAATCTCAGAATATCGTAAATCGGATTGTCTTAAGGAAATGTCCCTAAAATTTGACTAAGGATTGGATCACTTAATGATTTGGTCGGAGAGAACCTCTCCGGACTTAGGCAGTCCGGATCGGGGTCTTTCAGCTGCAGCCATGTGGTCCACACTAAACAGGTTATACATGGAGACTTCTCTACCTAATCGCATCTACTTACAGCTTAAGTTCTATACTTACAAGATGACTGATTCTAAGAGTATAGATGGGAATGTGGATGAATTCCTTAAGCTAGTTACTGATCTAAACAACATAGGAGTAGACGTGACAGAAGAGGTTCAAGCTATTCTATTGTTGAGTTCGTTATCTGACCGATATGATCAGCTCAAAGAGACACTGAAGTATGGCAGAGACACTGAAGTATGGCAGAGACACAGTGAGCTTGAATGAGGTCATTGGAGCTGCTAAATCAAAGGAAAGAGAACTCGCAGAAAGTAGAAAGCTTTCAAAATCTCAAAGTGAAGGCCTGTACGTGGAAACAAGAGGCAGATCAGAGAAGAGGTTTGACAAAGGAAAAGGCAAACCGTGGAGAGGACGTTCTAAGAGCAAAGGCAGATCAAAATCAAGGCCAAAGAATAATAAAAACAACAAGGGCTGTTTCGTTTGTGGTAAAGAAGGACATTGGAAGAGGGAGTGTCCTGAAAACTCCTCAAACAAACCTTCAAGTTCAGCAAACATTGCAACAGAGCCAAAGCAGCCTTTAGTACTAACTGTTAGCCCTCAAGACACTAAGGAAGAATGGGTTATGGATTCTGGTTGTAGTTTTCATATTACACCATACAAGGATTCTCTATTTGACCTACAAGAGTTTGATGGTGGCAAGGTCTTGATGGGTAATATGACTCACTGTGAAGTGAAAGGGATTGGTAAGATTAAGATCTTAAATCCATATGATTCTATGGTCATATTAACAAATGTGAGGTACGTACCTACAATGGGAAGGAACCTCATTTCATATGGTCAATTAGAGAAGAACGGCTGCAAATATGAAGGGGAAGACTTCGTAGTCACTTTCTACAAAGATGGACAAAAGGTTATTTCTGGAAAATATCAAGATGGGCTGTACTATCTACAAGGGAAGGTCATAAAAGGAGAAGTTGCAGTGGCAAGACCAGAAGTTGACATGACTAGCCTATGGCATTCTAGGCTGGGTCATATGAGCTCGAAGAACATGAATGTGCTGGTGAAAGAAGGTTACTTGTCAGGTAAAGAAGTAGACAAGCTGGAATTTTGTGAGAGTTGCGTACTTGGAAAATCTCACAAGCAAAGTTTCCCAACTGCTAAGCACACCACCAAAGGTATATTAGATTATATACATTCGGATCTCTGGGGATCTCCTTCTACTCCAGAAAGTCTTGGTGGCTGCAAGTATTTTGTAAGCTTCATTGATGATTTCTCGAAGAAAGTATGGGTGTATTTTCTGAAGACTAAGGATGAAGCATTTCACAAGTTCATAGAGTGGAAACAAGCAGTTGAGAATCAAACGGGCAGGAAGATTAAGTACTTACGGACTGATAATGGTCTTGAGTTCTGTAATACACAGTTTGACAACTTGTGTAAGGAAGCAAGAATAAAGAGGCACAGAACGTGTACCTATACACCGTAGAAAAACGGTGTCTCGGAGAGGATGAACAGGACCATTATGGATAAGGTTAGAGGTATGCTTGCTGAGACAGGATTGGGTCAAGAATTTTGGGCTGAAGCTACTTCTACGGCTGTCTACTTAATCAACAGAACACCGAACTCGTCTATTGGTTTTAAGCTACCTGAGGAAGTCTGGACAGGTACAAAACCAGATTTAAGTCATCTAAGGAGGTTCGGATGTTCAGCTTATGTCCATGTTACTCAAGATAAGACAAGTCCAAGAGCAGTCAAAGGAGTTTTCATGGGATATCCTTTCGGTATTAAAGGATACAGAGTCTGGTTGCCTGAGGAAGGGAAATGCACTACAAGTAGAAATGTGGTGTTCAATGAGAGTGAGTTGTACAAGAACACACTAAGTAGTGCAGATGGAAGGAAAGACAAAGCTGAAAAAGAGTACAGGAAATTGAAGAAAGCTGAAAAAAGAGTATCTTTCAGCAATGATCTTATTAGAGGTCCTTCTACCAGTTATTCTGATTCGGATGAGGCATCTTCTCAAGGTGGAGAAACTTCCATATCTTCATCAGAAATTTCAGAAAATTCAGAAAGCTCACAAGAATCAGAAACATATGAGGAAGTTGATGGATCTGAAAATGAACAGTCCCTGGATGATTACTTGTTGGCGAGGGACAGGAAACAGAGAAGTAATATCAGGCCTCCATCAAGATTCGAAGACGCAGATTTCGTAGCTTATGCTTTGGCAATAGCAGAAGACTTGGAAATAGAAGAGCCTAAGTCTTACGAAGAAGCTATGAAAAGCAGTAAGAGAAAGCAATGGGAAAATGCAATGAAGGAAGAGATGGATTCTCATAGAAAGAGTCATACTTGGGATCTAATTGAAAAACCAGAAAAGCAGAAGCTGATTGGATGCAAGTGGATCTTTAAATTGAAGCCATGCATACCGGGAGTGGAGAAACAGAGATACAAGGCCAGACTTGTTGCTAAGGGTTTTTCGCAGCAAGAAGGAATTGATTATAATGAAGTGTTTTCTCCAGTGGTGAAGCATGTCTCTATCAGGTTAATGTTGTCACTTGTGGTTAACATGGATTATGAGCTGGAGCAAATGGACGTTAAAACAGCTTTTCTGCATGGTAATCTAGAGGAAAGGATCCTAATGAGTCAACCTGAAGGATTCATACAAGAGGGAAACGAAAACAAAGTTTGTTGGTTGAGGAAGTCCCTATACGGCCTAAAACAGTCTCCTAGGCTTTGGAATCAGAGGTTTGATGGATTCATGCAGGATCAGAAGTTTGAAACAAGCAGTTATGACCCATGTGTCTACATGAGAGACACTCAAACTGATAAAGCTATCTATTTGTTGCTCTATGTTGATGATATTCTGATAGCTTCAGGGAGTATGGTTGTTATACAGGCACTACAATAAAAAGTGAATATTGTTACAATTATTATCGTCACAATATATAAAGATTCGGTCACAATAATTCTATTGTGACGAAACTGACACCAATTCTAGAATGTCACAATAAAATCGTCACAAATCCATGTATGTCTCAAAAAGGTCACAAATGAATGTGACGATTAACAACGGTAACAATTCGTCACTGATTGTGACGACATTCATTTAGTCACAAAAAAGCCACAATTCATGACGGACGATACTGTCACAAATATGCCACAACTAGTGACAATAAAATCGTAACATAAGTGTCACAAATTATTACCATATTTAAGTCACAGACCCGTTACATTTTGCGACCAACATATTATCACAAATCCGACACAATTAGTGACTCGATTATAGTCACACAAACGTTACATTTTGCGACCAACATATTATCACAAATCCGACACAATTAGTGACTCGATTATAGTCACACAAACGTCACAATTTGTGTTTCGGTTGTGACCTTTTTTCTTACTAAACTCGTATCAATTTGTTACAAAATAGGAATGTAAACAACACGTAGACTTAGTCACAAACATATGATTCCCAAACATATGACACGTAGAATTAGTCACAAACGTATTATTCCTTTTTACGATTTGCAGTCACCATTTTTTTTTTTTTTAAAATTAATTAATTTTCTAACAGCAAAAAAAGAAAAAAACAATAGCAAACGAACAAAATTTATAGAAAGTTTAAAGACAATAGACTAACATCCAAACAAACAAAGGAAACACAACTTAAAGACTAACATCCAAACATAAGTAACACAACTTAAAGAAAATGCAAACTAAACGATACTTAGGCTAATAGAAACCAGAATATATACATAACTAGATTAGCTGGAAGGTCTTGGTGATGGATTCAGATCTAGACATTTTGACGTGCAAGAGACTCAACAAGTTTTTCCATAGCTTCAAGTCTTTTCTGAGTTTGCAGATTCTCTTCAAGGCTCTTTTTAAGATCAGTTTCCATCTCTTGTAGCCGATGCGTTATTGTCTCCACTTCTTCAGCAGTTTGTGGTGCACTTGAAGAAGCACCAACAGATGGTAGAGCCTCAATTAGTGCTCCAAGTCCAAATATCTGGCCATGTTTAGATGATCCAGCAGCCTAGAAAGAAAGATTAAAATTATTAGCAAATGATAGTCTACTAACTTCTGTTGATATTAAAGAGGTCTCGTGTTAATATGGCATATACTTTCATATTAGAATGTACAGCCAATATTACAGGCACAAGTGCACCTCCGTACGCCTGAGCCATGTACTTTTGGTATACACTGAACCCAACTTTTGATTTAATTTACAAGATATATGAAATGACAGTCTACACATAGCACAAGAACAAATAAATGTAAAATCAGAGACTAACCAGCCTAAAATGAATGTAAAACCAGAGACTAACCTGAATGTAAAACCAGAGACTACCCTGAATGTAAAACCAGAGACTAACCAAAATGTAAAACATGAGACTAACCAGCCTAAAGTGAATGTAAAACCAGCCTAATGTTTAGAACTATTACCTTGATATAAATTTCATTTTTCTCATGTTCATCAAGAGTTTCAGCTGTCAGATTCTCTTCCCCAGAAGATTCAAGTTGACCCAAGCGTTCTTGTATATGCTTTTCATAAGTTTCTGCAACCAATCGTGCTCGTTGATCATCGTACGTTCTATCAGGCTTCTGATGTGTTTTCTTCATCACAGCAATAAAAGAGAAGTCTCGTTTTGTCCATTGAAACTTACAATCTCTAAATCTTTCTTTCTACGTTCTTACAATCTCCAAATCTCCCTTGAGAATGTTTATTCCAATGAGAAGGTTCAGACGAACTAGCAATTCGGTTTAACTTTTGGTTCACACGTTTTTGTTCTTGTTACAAAAATGGTAACAATTATGCCACAATCTATGACCAAACGCAAAAGTCACAAATATAGTGACAAATTGTGACAGGGTTGTTACAAAACGCTGTAACAAGACGACGTGACGTAAATTTAGTCACAAAATCGTATAATTTAGTTACCATATTTGGTCGCAAATACGTACTTATATTTGTGACTATATATTTTGTAACAAATTCGACATAATTAGTGACAAAAATTGGTTACTTTCAATTCCGTCACAATTTTATAACGAAATTGTAACATTTTTATAACGAAATTGTAACATTTTTATGACGAAATAAATACGTCACAATTTAGTATGTAAATGGTCACAATTTTCTGACAGGAAAAATGGTCACAATTTTTTGGTAAGAATATTCAATTTTTTTTGTAGTGAGGAGCTTAAAGACAAGCTGAATTGTGAGTTTGAAATGAAAGATTTGGGGAAGGCTTCAAGAATTCTGGGTATGGATATCATAAGAGATAGAGAAAAGGGAGAATTAATTCTGTCTCAGGGAAACTACTTGGAGAAAGTGTTAAAAACATTTGGAATGTTTGAAGCAAGACCAGTGATTACACCAACTGCTGCTCATTTCAAACTCAGAAGTTTGTCAGAAGAGGAAAAGAAAACAGAAGTTGTACACATGGAAAGAATTCCATATGCAAGTGCTGTGGGGAGTTTAATGTATGCCATGGTTGGTTCAAGGCCAGATTTAGCATTTGCAGTGGGTTTAATCAGCAGGTTTATGTCAAATCCAGGAAGAGATCATTGGTCTGCAGTGAAATGGGTGTTAAGGTACTTAAAAGGTGCATACACTCAAAACTTGATTTTTAAGAAGGATTCTAAGTTCTGCATTAAAGGATTTTCAGATTCAGATTATGCGACAGACTTAGATCGGAGAAGATCAGTGACGGGTTTTGTGTTTAAGGCTGGTGGAAACATAATTTCATGGAAATCAAGTTTACAATCTGTTGTGGCTATTTCAACCACAGAAGCAGAGTATATGGCTCTAACGGAAGCAGTGAAAGAAGCCATTTGGTTGAAAGGTTTGTGTTCAGAATTGGGTTTTAAGCAAGACAGTGTTAAGGTTCATTGTGATTCACAGAGTGCTCTAGCCCTAGCAAAGAATTCAGTTCATCACGAAAGAACCAAGCACATAGACACTAAATTTCATTTCATCAGAGATATAGTGTCTAAGGGTGAAGTTGTTCTACACAAAATACACACAACAGTCAATCCAGCAGATTTCCTAACTAAGACGGTACCTGGCCAGAAGTTCCAGCTTTGCTGCGAGCTTCTCAACATCCACTAAGGTGGAGCTGCGGCTACAGGTAACTCCAACAGTCTCGCAAAACAGGTTGAAACAAGATGATTCAGTTTTGTGAGAAGTACTCAAGTGTCAGAATTGAGTAAAGCTTTAAATTGGAGTTGGTGTTACGTGTTAAGTACTGGAACTGTGTAGGAGTTGCAAGTTCCAGGTGGAGTATCTGACAAAAATATTTTCAGCAAGAAGCTGAGTTAGAAGTCTCATAATGTGGTGAGATTAAAGCAATCTGTCAAGCTGAGGTGATCCAAGACAGATAATAACCTGAAAGCTGTTGAAATCGTGTTGAAAGGAATATCAGTTTCAGGTGGAGTCCTCTAAGAAGCCAGTTGTGGTAGTTGAGGGTGGTGATTCAACTGTTAACTAAGCAGATGGAGACAAGCTCTCTCAGTTAAAAATTGAATCACTGAGACAAGAGAAATTTGTGGGAAAGGGGCTTACCTAAGGGGTAATCGGAAGACTGGATGAGCATGGTGGAACTTGCCGAGAGGCTGTGAAGCTCACCGGAGAAACCTGAAATGGTTTCAAAGTTTCTGGAAATCTCAGAAGATCCTATTCTCTAAATGTCAAGAAGAGACAAGAGAGAGATTAGATGTACCTGGGGTTTACAGAGGAAGCGTTGGTCCGATTAACCGGAGAAGACGAGCAAATCGGGTCAGATTCATGAGAAAGAAAACAAAGGAGATGTCTCCTGATTTGTCAAAATTGGGACCCGCCGTGAAACAGGTGGAAGCTGAAGCATGCTTTCACCGGAGGTAGCCATCGGAGAAGGCTGTGGTCGGAATCTAAAATTGATTTGGATTTTTACCATCTTCTCTCCATGTCGAGAACAAGAGAGCTCAGTGGGGAAAAGGAAGAAACTATGGCTGACGGCAACGGAGTTGCTAGCAGAAGTTGGAGGGCATCGCCGGAGTATCTCGCCGGAGGAGGTGGCGATCCGGTGGTGGTCTTGAGCTTCACGAAGGGACAAGGGAAGAGATTGGTTTTCAGATGACGATTTCGTCGAGGGTTGGTGTTTGTCAAAAGGTGGAGAATTGTTGATGGGTTTGACAAAACCAAACAAAGTCTGGCCCATTAAGGCCCATACAAAATTGACAAGAAGAGAAAGAAGAACAAGAGTGGCCCATCACATACACTATTTCTACGTGAGATAAAGAGGAAGTGGAGGTAGGTGAGACAAGACATAAGAGAGTTCTAGAGAAAGGAAAAAAAAAAAAAAAAGGGTTCTTCTTCAACAAGCTTTCTCCTTCTTTGTTCTTTGTCTTTGATCTTTGTTCTTCTTGAGATTGTATCTGAAACCAAAAAGACAACATCACAAGTTAAGTGGTGTTTTTAATCTTCTTTGATATAGTGAAGCTTTGGGAGCAAGAGTCCTTCCCCGAGACATAGTGGTTAAGCCGTGAACTCGGTTATCAATTGTTTGTGTTTGTTTCTTTCACAAGTCACCGTTCAAGTCTTTTAATTTCTCTACAGATTATGTGTTTTAATCTGCAGGGCTTTATTGTTTCGATCGTGATATGCTTTGATTTTGCTAATTTGTTTTTATTGAAGTGAATTACTCTGTTTCTTAATTGGTATAGAGTTGCTGTGGCTTTTTCCCACTCGTTTAGCTTGTGAGGAAGTAGAAGGATTATTATATTCACTTTTATCATTGAGCAAAATTATTGTGTTGGGGTTACGTTCATTCCATGTTCCATAACTGATGCGTTTGAATTGGTTCAAAAGCATGTTTCGTTAGTTTCGTCTTGCTGTTTGAGTCACTTTGGATTAAGTCTCTTGTTTGGTTTTTGTTTGTTACCAAACGTTTGGAGCAGCCTCAATTATATATTGAATTGCATTGTTAAATTCTTTATTCCTTGATATGGTCGTTTTGTTATTGCGTTAGCAAAAGAAATCGAAAAGTGATATGTGATTAATATTTGTTTTCTGATTCGTAAATGGTTTAGGTTGCTTTTGTTTTGCATTCATAATCTGGAATCTGGAAAAGTTTCATATTTTCCTGCTATTTATTCTCATCGTCTAAATTGTGTTGTATAGTCTCTGGTTTATAATTAAATTGTTAATTTCTGGTTTTGTGAGTTCTGGAAATTTTAATTTAATTATTGATTGCAATTTATTCATAATGTTTCAATTGATTAGTTTATTATAATCCATTGAACTTTGAATTTTGGTTTTTGTTACACATACTAATTGGTGTTTGTTTACCCGTGAACAGATATGATTTTAAGTATGGCTACTATCAAGAACACGATCGACGGACGCAACAATGATGATTCGCTCGATGATGGAACCGTTGGAGGTGGTGCTCTTGGTAAAGGGTTAAGTGAGTCGACGCCCCAAATTCTGGTCCTCCACATGTGAACCCGTTAGTGCCTAGCGTTGTTAGCGCAGGACTAATGCCGGAAAAGTTCGGTGGGAATGGGTTTAAGACTTGGCAACAGAAAATGCATTTCTTTTTGACCACTTTGAACCTAGACAAGTATCTGAAAGAGGAAGCACCGATTCGCCCACCGGGGAATACGGACCCGCTAGTTCTAGCTAGTGTGGATTCGTGGACCCATACAGACTTTCTGTGCAAGGCCTGGATTCTAAGCCGCTTGGTAGACCCACTGTATGCTGTATACAGTAAGGTCAACACCTCTAAGGACCTTTGGGGTGCATTGGAGAAGAAGTATAAGTCCGAGGATGCAGGCTTGCAAAAATACGCTACGGTGAATTTTCTGAACTTCAAAATGGTGGATTCAAAACCCATCATGGAACAAGTTGAAGCGCTGCAATTGCTTAAGGATGAGATAGCATCTGAGGGAATGTCGATTTGCAAAATTTTCACGGTCAACTGTTTCATTGAGAGAAACTTCCCCCAATTTGGTTGGATTTTAAGAACTATCTCATCCATAAGAAAAAAAACAATTTCCCTTGAGGACTTGGTGGCCAAGCTGCGGGTTGAATCTCGTAACCGCAATGCCGATGATGTTCTCCTTCATGAGAATAATGTGAACATGGCTGAGCATAAGAAAAGCAAGGGAAAGAACATGATTCCGCCCCAAGCTTCCTCTAGCTTCAAGAAGCAAACGGTTGCTAAGAAGTTCTCTGGAAAGTGTCACAAGTGTGGCAAAATGGGCCATAAGGCTAATACTTGTACCAAAGCTGGTCCAAGTAAAGACAATAGGAAGTCTCAAGCCAATTTGACTCAAGATGATCTCTGAGCTGTGGTCAGAGAAGTCAACACGGTTGAGGACAACCCATTGGAATGGTGGTATGACACGGGTGCCACCACTCACATATGTGTTGATAAGGACATGTTTTGTTCTTATCAAAAGTGCAAGAGTGAGGAGCGGTTGTTGATTGGTAACACCGGCTCGTCGAAGATTGAAGGTTATGGCAAAGTTGTGCTAAAGATGCCTCGGAGCGTGAGATCACTCACCAAAACGTGAAGCATGTGCCGGACATGAGGAAGAATTTGATTTCTGGTACGCTTATGAGCAAGGCCGGATTTGCCGTCATTTTCGAGTCTGACAATCTTGTTCTCAAGAAACATGGGGTGTATGTGGGCAAAGGTTATGTTAAGGATGGACTGGTCAAGATAAATGTCATGACACTCATGCCAAAATAAGTTGCAACCATTGTCTCGTTGTTTCGTTCTTTCGTTGTTTCAATTAATAAGAAAAATTCAGTTTTTATTATTATTTGATTTGGTCTTTGGACATTTGGTATTTATGTTTAGGCATGTGAATTATAAATCTTTTTTGAGATTGATTAATATTTGAACCTAATTCTAAAATACAAATCGAGCAAAGACAATTGTGAAGTATGCGTAGAGGCAAACTCACAAAATCACCTCATGTTGAAAGAACAACGTACCTCTAGATTTAATTCATACATTTTTTGTATGATTTAAAATTTCTTGAAATTAGAGGTGGTAAAATATTTTGTGACTTTCGTTGATGATTGTACAATATATTTATATATAGTTTTTGCTACATAGCAAAGATGAAAAAACCAACGTGAGAAAACTATTTTAATAGTTTTAAGTAATAAGAGAGAGTTTTTGATGCTTATTTGTGGTCTTTGGTGTACTTCAAATTTTTCATCGAAAAAACTTCTCTATGTTAACTTGACTCTAATGGAGTAGTTGAACAAAAATTCTGAATTCTTAAAGAGATGATGAATACAATGTTGTAATGCTCTAAGGTGTCTCGTGAAATGTTATGATAAGCACCTGACAAACCACATCAAACTATATATATATATATATATATATATATATTATTTTTCTATACCTTTTATTTGGGATGCTAACATATCAATGCTACATTTCTTATTAAGTTTCTATTTTGTTAAAGGGGACAGAAACATCAAAGGTCAAATGATTTTGTTTTTTCCGCCAAAGGTCAAATGATTTAGTTACCAAAGCCAACGGCTTAACATCATTGATGTCCATTTGAGTAGAGTTCACGGTGTAATTTTAAAAAATTTGGCGCACTCATATAAAACAGGGATAAAATAGAGGTCGGGATTTGACATTCGTTGCATTCTTAGTCAATTTAACAAATACCAATAAAAAAAAAATTGTGAGTCAACTACCATTTTTTGTTTTCACAACTGCTGCCAATAAATTTCAAATAAGAAAAAAAAACTTATTAAATAGAATGATGAACCACGTTAAAATATCTTAATAAGAATACCACATAAAATACTAATAAATAATGGAAAAATCATTGCCAGCTACACGAACTATACGCCAACACATCACCACACATGCAGACTATTTTAATGTTTCGCTAACTACACGAACTATTGGTATTACATACGGACATCCCCGAACTATCATCGGTTATGTGTGCAACACCATAACCATAATTTCCAAATAATATAAATGTCTTGTTAACTACACGAAGTATTTCTTTTTTTTTGTCAACTACACGAAGTATTTTCATCAATTTTTTCTTAAAACTAATAAGTTAAATAAAACTATATAATATATCAATGTAAATTATATATGTACATTATAACTATTCTAACTTTAAAATTTTAATGTAATAAAGACTAAACTAGTTCCATAAAAAATATATGTGTTCATTAAAAATTTGTTAATTAACTTAAACCTATAATGAAATGTATAATTTAATTAAGTGACACTTTTAAAAATTTAGTTAAATTAATTTCATATAAAACATATGTGTGCATTAAAAATTAGTTAATTAATTTAACTTAAAATTATAAGGGATACTGCATATGTAGAATTTAAACTTTAAAAGTTATAATGCATATATATAATTAACAATAGTGTATTATTTACTTTTAGTTATTTTTTCATTTTGTAATTTAGTTTTAAAAAAATGATGGAAATATTTCGTGTAGTTAACAATACATTTATATTATCTGGAAATGATGGTTATGGTATATATAATTTACATTGATATATTATATAGTTTTATTTAACTAATAGTGATGTATAATTTAACTAAGTGACTATTTTAAATTTTTAACAATTTAATATAATAAATATTAAATTAGTTAAATTAATTTAACTTAAAAGTATAATGCATTAAAAGTTATATATATATATATATATATATATATATATATATATATATATATAATTTAGAGAAATTAATAAAAATGCCCCTTTTTCAATACCCCTTTTCAAAAATGCCCCTTTTGAGAGTCCATTTTTAAGTTTGCCCTCTTTTAATTTTTAATGACCACTCTTACCCTTATTTGAAACAAAATTAGATCCACACAATACAAAATATTTTTTGGCGGGAAAA